GTAAGATTATGAGCAGAAGTCCAGAGAATTCTGAAGTAACTCTGACGGATTTCAAAGTGCATTAACCCAACACAAATAACGATGACTTAGGGTCTTGAAAATCTGTTAAATGTTAATCAATCATTAAATTAATAAAAACAATCTAAGGAGAATCCCCAGGGAATATCGATAATTATTCCAAGAGAATCTAATGCTGAACATAACTGAAAAAAAAACGTTGCCGAATTTCAATCTGAAGATAGTTTTAAGAAAATTTCTACGAAAATTCATAAGGATTTTGAAAGAATTTAAAGACATTTCCAAACGGGTTTCAAAGAGAATATTTTTCAGTAAATTTGAATTATTGTTTCCTAAAAAGTAGTACCGTTCCAGAAGATTCTAACATCGAACAACACATGGAGATTGCAAAAGTCGACAAAGAGTTGGAAATTGCTTAAGATTTTCACTTTAATAATTTGGAAACATTATCACCACCAAAACTCTAGGGCATTGCTATTTTTTAGATCTAACTCATTAAGTTTTGGTATCCCAAACTAAGGAAAAGTTAAGAATTTCGAGCTTGCTGAATTATTCAAGATTATAAGTTAAATATTTTAGATAGTGGACGTAGACAATTCCTAAAAATTTCAAAATTTAAATTTAATTTTAAAATATATTGTAAACATATTCATGTACATACAAGGTGGGTGACTGGTAATTCGTGTTACACTCGAAAGGAAGTGAAAGTAGACCACATTTACAGCAAAAAATGTATGGCAAGGTAGGTTGAAAAATCAATCCTTACTGAGTGATTGATCTATTTATTTTACATTGCCGAACAACACTACCACTTTTTGCTCGGGCACTCGCGAATATTACCAAAGCCCACCGGGAAGTCAACATTGCTTGGCTACTATGATCAATCTGTGTTTACTAACCACTCTATTCAATTGGCGCAACAGGCAGAGTGGTTAGTAAACAAATTTTGATCATAGTAGCCAAGCAATGTTGACTTCGCGGTGGGCTTTGGTAATATTCGCGAGTGCCCGAGCAAAAAGTGGTAGTGTTGCTCGGCAATGTAAAATAAATAGATCAATAACTCGGTAACGAATGATTTTTCGACCTACCTTTCCGTAGAATTTTTGCTGCAAATACGAGGGGCGACTCTATCTAAGATGCAGGAAATTTATTGCTTTGATGTTGTAAGATGCTCGCATGCTTAGTAGATTGAAGGAAGATTGATGAAGATTTGGTAGATTTCCTGCAAAAAGGTGGAGAGCGGGAAAATGGATTTAGATGCAAGAGATGAAATAAGATAGATTTATTCGCTAACGTGACATTTTCCAACCATCTTAAATTCAGATTTAGATGTGTCGAACCCCCAGTGCAAATGTGATCTACTTTCACCTCCTTTCGGGTGTAACACGAATTACCAGTCATTCTGTATTTAAAATACCTAAGAACATGTAAAAATGTATTTTAGGTTCATATCAAATTTCCGGCTAATTACCAGTGGCCACCCTGTATTACTTAAATTAAAAAAAAACAAGTTGCAGCTAAAGCTGTTTCCAACAACCTACGAGTTCTCACGAGACGTTACAAGAAATCAGTTTAACAGAAGATCTGAATTGAATTCCTAGGTGATTCAAAAGAGATTTTATGGGAATCGTAAGAAGATTGAATAGCAGATGAATTTTAAGGAGGATTTAAAAAGAATTCTAATGAGAATTCAAATAGAATTAAGGTAAATGACGGCTTGGGCATCCAAAATTTAAACGTTGATTGTACTGAATTTTCCCATCAGTACACTTCACTGAATGTGTTGTACCGAGCTTCAATCTTATTTTTTACGACTAAGCAATCTTGTTATGCCAGATTTTTTTTGTATCATGAAATATACGCTCTACAAAATGTGGATGATTTCGTGTTGCCGATAATAGAACAGCTGGTTAACACGCAGCTCAAATGGAAAGGTTGCCGATGAAAAAAGGCTGCCGACAATAGTCACACTCACCTGAGAAGTTTGGAACGGTTTAAAAACGTTTTCAAACAGCTTTTGACAATTCTGTTGATTGAAATTAATAGAAAAGCAAGCAACAGATCAATGTAAACAAACAAACACTAATTGAAGCACGAGAATGTATAAATTTCCCTTTAAGCAAAATTTAAAGGGTGTTTTCTGTGGATAATTTCGAAGGAATAGTGAGTAAAAATATAACTTTAAACCCAAGTAACATTGCAAGTTTTATTGAGGTTTTAAAGCATGTTACAAGTCTAAATCGTGGTCTACAGAACCCTTATAAAACCGAAATGGTTACTTGGGAAGGGATCTGATTATAATAAAAACAAAATTGAGGAGAAGAAGAGAAAAAACAATCAGAAAATAATTATGAGGATTTCTGAGGAGAGAGAAAATTTTGAACAGAATTTCAAAAGAATCTAATTGTCAAAAAAGTTGTAAAGGAATTTTAAGAAGGATTCCGGCAAGCATACTTTTACATATAGAAACTTCTATAATAATCTTTTTAAGAAGCTTCCTGTGGATGCTTTGTTTAGAATAATGAGAAGCTTTTTTTAGATGATTACTCTAGACTCTTGCCCGTCGCCCTGTTCCTCTGACTAAAATATAACACGACAGGACAATAAATCATAAATGGAGCAATTTTCCTTGGTTTATGGATCAATATTTATAAAAAAGGACCAAAGCATGAAACATAGGTATGTGTCAAATTTATGGATCATTCCTATATTTTTTAGTACGCAAACCTGATTTTCTATGAATCAATTTTGTTAGTTTCTGCTTTACTAAAAAAATATGATGGGCACCCGGGTAAAATCGATTCCATTTGAATAGCTTAATGCTGCCAGGTTTTAGCAATCGTTAGTCGTAATGGTTTGTTGTGATGAAAGGAGCTCAGTGGCTTACCAGCGACCGATTTTGCTTACTGCGCATAATATTGTGGATTCAATACAATTCAATTATTTTGTAGTGCGTAAACTTGATTTTCTATGGATCAATTTCATTAGCTTATCGTTCATATTTGATCGTTCTATGGATCATATGTAATATTTTTATGGGTAATTCGTACAATTTCAATGCTCATTCTTTAGAAATTGAGAGGTTCATTTTTACAATTGTGTTGCTAAATTATGCATAAAATGTGGATCATAGATACATTGTTTATAGATCATTGTCACTTTCTTAGGGATTTTCACCGGGGTTTCAAAGGGTCATTTGGGTGTTTTTAAGGAATATTTTTCAATTTTTGATGGGTCGTTTCATCAATTCTTAAGCTGCCCTAAGTATGCAGCCATCATTTATTAGCTAGAGAATGTTCTGAAGAGGTTAGATTGATAGTTCCGCTAGAGTACGGTGGACCTCCCTTAGCTCAGTCGGTAAAGGCACAGCTACAAAGCAAGACCATGCTGGAGGTGGCTGGGTTTGATTCCCGGTCCGGTCTAGGAATTTTTCGGGTTGGAAAATTTATCGATTTCCCTGGGCATAGAGTATGATTGTACCACACAATTATACTAATGCAAAAATGGTACAGGCATCGAAAGCTCTCAATTAATAACTGTGGAAGTGCATCTAGAAAACTAAGTAGAGAGCACACAAAAAGCTGGATAGAGCTGGAATTACGGCGTAACAGCTTTTGTAAACAATGACTTCTCTCGATGATTTCTAGAAAGCCAACGCACGCCCACTCAAATCAACGTAACCATCGGGTAGGGGAAGACTTCACCTTCCCGTTGGTTATGTTGGTTTGCGTGGGCGTGCCTTGAGTTTCGAGAAATCATCGAGAGAAGTCATTGTTTACAAAAGCTGTTACGCCCTAATTCCAGCTCTATCAAGATATGTGCCATACGCAATAAGCTTGAAATGTGAGGAAGAAGAAGAAGAGTACGGCAGTATGAAATTGAGTGAAGGGCCATTTATGCGACAATACTAATCAAACGGGCACTACTTTACCTAACTCATACATTGATGGATGAGGGGATTTGAGGTTTGTCCTGTGGATTTGAGGACATACCTCAAATCACCTCATCCATCCATGTAAAAGAGTGCGCGTTTGATTAGTATTGTCGCATTACTGGCCCTTCCCTCAATTTCAACTTCTGTTCAATTTCACACTGCCGAAATTATCAATCTATCCTCTTCAGAACTTTCTTTAGCTATTTAATAATAATATTATTATTTATTATGTTGATTTAAGTACAGCTTTTCCTCCCAACTGCCCGAGCAGGAAAAAATAACTCATGAATACCAAACTCAGGCTTGAAAATAGCATAACTGGCAACCTAAATATGGTATTAGTGAGGCTTACATAAGAGGTAAAATACCAAAAATAATACCTCAAAAATATTCTACGAATAACGAACTAATAAATATTTTAGTTATTACAATAACAAACGGATAACAGACGCTTTTTTAGATGCCAGAATCCCATAGTTTGTTATTTTGAAGGTCTTCTAATACCAATTCAATAACTCTTTTAGGTGTTTTGGTATTCATTTGATATTTTACAAAGTATTTCGATAACTGAATAATATCAAAACAAGGTTTTATACCACAAGCAAACCGAAATCTGGTATCATACCACATTAAGATATTCATTTGTTATCGATTAGTTATCGGTTCTTGCTCGGGTATGGGTTTGAGTTAAATCCTACAAAAGAACGCAGGATATTTGTGACAAAAATGTGATCTTATAAGAATGATTTCCTGATGTGGCAACTTGAAATCTTGTTCCACCTTTTCCCACGTTGTAATCCTCAATTAGCACCACTTCGTTGCACTTAAATCCTCCCGTCACAGCGAAGAAATCCTCAAGTGTAATTGGCACCACAGTAGCATCATCCATCTATCACGCTGCCAACTCCTGTTCTCTTTTCCTGCACAAAATGGCTCTCGTACGTAATTAATGATCCTGCAGCGTGGGTTACTACAGTGCAGGCATTTCCGTTTCATTACGTTACATCATTAAAACCCTGTGCATGTGTGCTGCCCAGGGGATACTCACCATATCACTGTTGTTGTGACGCAGCAGAATGGCATTGCCGTACAGTAGCGTTCGGTGTCCGGAACCCGTTCCCTTGCCCTAGATTTCGATTATTTTTTTGGTTTATCGTTTGCGTGAAACGAACAATTTCAAATTCAGAGGGAGAAACAAAAATTCGAAAGAAAAACATTCATTAGTAAACGGTTTCAATTAGCTCGCTGCAGCACAGTGTTTTAGAAAAAAAAGCGGTTAATAACTCCATCCATTACGCATTATTATCCATTTGGGCATTCATTGTTTGACAGATTTTTAGGTTTTAGGTGTTGCTTATTTTACGGATTAAAACGTTCGAGTTTGGTATTGTATTTAGACATTCTGGCACAACAATTCGGGTTAAAGCGTCATTCCATTCGGCATTCGCGGCATTCTGTGTTGCTATTCTACTTGGTCTAGTTAAATTTAAGAAATAAAAAAAAAAACGTATTTCAAGACACCCAGAAGGTTACATTCATTAATAATAAAAAAAAACATCAGTGCCACTATAGTTCAGCTCCTTTTGCGGTCTCACATTTGCAGCAGTTTGTGTTTGGAATTGCATGGCATACTTTAGGGTGGGTGATAGTCGAAGGGAAGTAGTCTGCTACGCTCGTCAAACTTTCTTTATATTGATTTTTTTTTCGATTCTTCTACCTTAAATAAAAAGGGGGGTTGCGCTTGCTCTAAAGTGTGATTTGTGTGCAGAGTTTTGTGCTCGTGTAATACTTGGGTTTGGTTTTTCAGCTGAAGGTTACAGGCAGGTTTAGTGAACAGCAGAAAGTGACGACGTGACGATGGCTGTCGCATGCTAACCATCCACTTTCTGTCAATCTCGTACACGCGGGCAAACAGGTGAATTGAAATATATGAGCCCAGATTGTCACGACATGCTGATATGAAGCAATGTTGCTGATACTGTTTTTGTAGAGGGTTTATGAAAGTTGACCTTCTTGGTTTCAATCAAAGAGGATTCCAGCAAAGTAAGGATCTCAACGCAGTAATTTTACTAATGATGATGTGCGTTTCTTAAGTATCCCTTAATTAATCTTAAAAATGGGTGCAATGTGTGATTATTTTGATATGCAAATGAATATTTTCTTTTTGTTTATTATACATTTCCCATAACTTGAAAACGATGGCTACAGATTGCAGCCATTTTTTTTTCTAATTGCCACAGTTGATGATGGAAGTGAACATCGATGCACTGAATACAATCCGAAAGAGCAGTGGAAAAGTTTACACACCCTATTCAAAACATTAAATTGAGGTAGGGGCCAGTAATTCTAATACATACTAACATTCAAACGAAATTTTTGACCAACATAAGAATAGTAACGATCTTCTATCAAAGGGGCCTCATTCGAATGTGAACTATTGCTGATTGCATCTGAAACTGGACTGTCCCAAAAATACAAAAAGTGTGATAAAAGTGCACGTTTCCGTCAAATCGTGTTGATGTCTTCGGAGAACTTATTGCTTGCATCATAAAGAATAAGTGCACAGAAGGCACCAAGACAATTAGACGTAAACTTGCAGTTTTATCACACTTTTTAATAAGTGAAAACGCGCTTAAAGGGTGTCCACGATGAAATTGCCACACACAAAATTGATTCGCAAAATTCGAGTTTTCATCCGATTGCCATCAAATTTTCAGGGATTGAGAAATAACTATTAAACTTCATTTTACCATTTAACTCGTATTTTATTTACAGTGCATACGCAAATGCCCGCACCTTGGCCTTTACCCCGGCCATAAGATTCTGCACAACCTGTGAATCAACCGTTTTTTGCATGTAAACCCATACTTTCTTCAGTTCCTCGACTGTCTTCACTACCTTAGGTCGTTTAAGAAGGTGCTGCTTCATAATCGCCCAGTACTTCTCGATGGGGCGGAGCTCCGGAGTGTTGGGAGGGTTGAACATTTTCGGCACGAAATTGACCTTATTGTCCGCATACCACTTCAGCACGTCCTTGGAGTAGTGGCATGAGGCCAAATCCGGCCAGAAGATTGTTGGGACGTTGTGGGCCTTCAGGAGAGGAAGCAGCCGCTTCTGGAGGCACTCTTTTATGTACACCTGTCCGTTCATCGTGTCCTGGGTCACGAAAGGTGCACTCCGCTTCCTGCACGTGCAGATGGCTTGCCAAACCAGGAATTTCTTCGCAAATTTGGACATCTTCTGAGTGCGAACATGCTCCGGAACGCTGAACTTATCCTTGGCCCTGAAAAACAGGTTGCCGGGGATCTGTTTGAAGTCGACATTCCCAACGTTTTAGCGATGGAACGATACGAGAGATCCTTGTTCTCGTGATGAATGCGCAAGATTTTATGACGCACGAGCTGTTCTTTCGACTCCATTTCCGCGAGTTTTGATCACAGGACTTTAAAACTTGCAGGATGTAAATAATGCACTATGAACTAAATCCACCCCAATTTTCATTAAATTCTACCCGACGGTTAAAAAGTTAGAGCAATTTCATAGTGTGGCAATTTCATCGTGGACACCCTTTATTAGTCCAATTTGGTGTGAAACGCGCAATAATACATTTCTGATTTTCAAGCTTAGCATAAATAAGACTCTATTTTCACGAGGTTCTAGAAGATTTTTATTTCAAAATATTATTCGACGACAAAGTTAAGCAACCTCACTTTAAACAGCTCGAATGATATGATTTATTGAGAAATGCTTGAAGCCATTTAATCACGCCTAAACGGAGCTTTGGACACCTGAGTAAATTCGACATCAATTTGACTTCCAGCAGAGCCCAAACCGACTTTCGTCTGACTAGAACTCGCTATTAGACCAACATATGCTAAAAATAGACCCGAAATTAATCCGACATAGTCTAATTGGGATTCTTTTTAAGGTTCTACCAGCCTGCGGCTGAAAATCTCCTAAATAGAGATAATAATAATAATAATAATAATAATAATAATAATAATAATAAGGTTTTACTTGATCAATGCCATTGAAAGTGAACGGAACTCAATTGACAGTAGTTGAGGTTCGTTTGAAGTCTGGTTAATAATTTCAGCTAAATGTACTTGCTTATGGCTTTTACGTCTGAATTTAAGCATTGCGGGAAATTTGCAGCACAAATTTGTGTTTTGAGCAGCTCCACGCCAAATGACAAATCGGAAAAATTTGAACTTTTTCGAAATCCATGAACCTTTGCATAATTGTTTGTTATGGGCAATCATCCACAAATTTGCTAAAATTTGGCTGACTGAAAACTGCGTTTTTTTCTGGGGCGGTTGTTGTACAGAGGATTTACAATTGTACCAACTGCAAAAGGCTCGTTGTGGAAAATGTGGTGAAAACCGCATACTGTGGCGAGAATCCTCATCCCGTGTAGGAGCGCCCGATGTAGAAGCAGCACTCTGATAAAGTGCAGCGTACAATCTCTGGACGCTCCAAGCAGTCATATGCACAAATGGTGAAGGCAGCATCTGCCGTCTAAGATGAAAACCAATTTTCGATTTTGTCAGCTAAAGATTTGGACTCTGACTTATCCGATGAGGGTGATTCTACGGTGGTACACGCACCTTCGAAAATGGACGGATCCTCAAAAAGAAAGTGCCCCTCCTCGAAAGTGCGCCGTAAGAAAACTAAAGTCACCTCCAAAAGATTGACAAATTCCCATGGGAATGGGGATGAACAAACCAAACCGAAGGCTCCTGCTGATCCAATACCTGGCTGCAGCAGGAATTTCCTGCCATTACCCAACAAAGATAAGAAAATTACAAAAGCTGCTCCTCAAACGTCTCAAAAGAAATCCAAGTCCAAACGAGGTTTTCTAACCTCTTCGGACATTGTGCAATTCATATTAAATATGTTCAACATACAAGACACTAGACATTAGAATCATGCTTTTTTTTGCGACCATTTTTCTGATCTTTTATAATATATATTCCCCATTTTTCAAGATGCCACAGATATTCCACATTTTCAAGTTTCCTTATCACTATTATTAGGAGTGATCGCCATTACATTATCGCAGCTAGACATTACACTTCGAATAAAGTGCACTGCCGTACTAGGAGTTGTTCTCCAAATGTCAAAGGGTTCTATCAGCCCCTTGTCGAAGACCTTACGGCTTTTTTTTTAAAATTGCCGGAGAGTGGCATAGCAAATGTTCCGAGTCTTCCTTTTCTATGCCACAGAAGCGACATACATCATCTTGAAGTTTTCCAATCAGCTTCAAGTGATAACGGCTCAGACAATGACCTGTTATAAAACCTGTATAAATCTTTCTTAGAAAGTTCCAGGATTTTGTGGATCACAGAAATGTTTGGATTAATGAATTACTTCGACTGCCTAGCACGCTTTTAGCTCCATTCTTAAAGATGCAGCCGGTAAGCCACACAAGGGATCTGGCCCTATGAACTTATGAGAAGATCCGAGTCTTCCTAGAGCATAGGCTCTTTCATTTCCGTCAATCCCGCTATTACCAGGAACCCAATATAAGTTGACTTGATTATGGCAAGAGACTTTTTGAAGTGATTGAACACACTCCCAGACAAGTTTTGATGTACATGTCGCTGATTTTAAAGCATTTAGAGCAGTTTGACTGTCGGACATTATGCATATATTTGAACTCTTATAGTTTCTACGCAAACATATAATAGTACACTCTAAAATTACTAGGATTTCAGCTTGAAACACAGTTGGCCATCTGCCCATAGAAACCGATATGTCTATCCCTGGGCCAGTTACTCCTGCTCCCACTTGATTGTTCAACCCACTTGATCCTGGACGAAGAATTGGACCACCAAACATACCTTATCGCAATTGACTGTTTCATGGCCCCTCCTTGCATCAATCATATCTTTCGGTGGATAATTCGTCGAACGAGGTTGAAGATATGATCACTGTGCTACAGTAGAACTGCCGTAGTCTAGTGCTTAAACTAGACTCGTTAAAATTTTTACTTCACAATTCTGATTGTGATACAATTGCTCTCTGTGAAACCTGGCTTTCTTCCGATAAAGAACTCAACTTCCACGATTTTAAAATTATACGCCTGGATAGAGACGATTCTTATGGAGGAGTATTTTTAGGGAT